AATTTTACAAACATTTACAAAGAAATGACAAGTAACACATTGAATTAAATGTGAAATTTTACAGTAGAAAAACTGAAATAGCATTTTCTTGAAATATGTACTCCAATAATCTTCATTTTAATTACAACTTCGAAAAAACTATGTTTTTACAGTGTTGCTCTAAATCATTTTGTGATGAATAAATAAAAAATACATACAAATGACAATGTTTGCTGTCTTCTGCATGTCATTTATAAATATATTTTAAAATAGGCATGTGCCAAATCTTTGCTGCACAAAGCATATCCCACCAATTATTGTAGGGCAATAAAGAATCTGATTTATTAAATTTTTACTCTTAATTTTTCAGGAAGTGGACTTTGAGAAGGATTGGAAACTGGTGACACTATTCATTGGGGGAAATGACCTTTGCCAGTACTGTCACGACCGGGTGAGTGGATGATTCTTAATAAAGGCTCTCAGCTCCCCATCAAAAATGGTTTCTTCTTGCATCAGAGAACCTCAGCGTCAGCAGTGACCTTTAAGCAGCTAAAATCCATTCTGATACTAACAAACAGAGATGTGCCACTGTGCCATGTAAATGTTGTTTTTCGTATCTAAGACCAGCAAATAACAATTACATTTTGCTGGGGAAAAAAAGTGTGTTGTGTTTTTCTCTACCCAGGCTTCTCTGTCTCCTTCCAAGTACATCAGTCACATCAGAGACAGTCTGGACATGCTGTACAATGAGGTGAGAGAGATGCATTTACTGATCCATATCACATTCATGAATCTTCTTTCACCCACAAAATAAAAAAAAACAAGAAATTAAATTCTTATTAGAATTATAGAAAATAATTTTGCATAAAAAATTAAGGGTTTTGCACAGTGACATTATTTTAATGACAATTACACATTTTCACTTATATTTAAATGTGAAATTATATAACAAGATTATAAATCATATAGAATGAGATTTTGAAAATCTAAAATAGCAGTAAGTTTTCTTTGAGGGGCAGGGTTAGGGTAAGAGGATATAAAATACAGTTTGGACAGTATAAAAACCTTTGCACATATGGAATGTCCCTATAAAACACATGAAAACCCAACGTGTGTGTGTGAGTTCGTGTGTGTGCTTGTGTGTGTGTGTGTGTGTGTGTGTGTGTGTGCGCGTGTTTTTGTGACAAATGAGGACATACATTTGTATAATGACAAAGGTATGACATAGGTATTACAAGGAGAAGGTGACTTTTCAGGACATTACCCCATGTCCCCACTTTTCAAAACACTTATAAATCACACAGAATGGAGTGTATTGACAATCTGAAATAGCACAAAGTGTCCTGTAAGGGGTAGGTTTAGGGGTAGGGTTGGTGTAGGGCAATAGAATATACGGTCTGTACAGTATAAAAACCATTACGCCTATGGGATGTCCCCAAACCTGTGTGTGTGTGTGTGTGTGCAGGTTCCCAGAGTGCTGGTAAATTTTGTGGGAATCTTAGAGATTGAGGATCTGCGAATGATAAAGAGGGACACATTGGGCTGCAGCCTCCTGCAAGAGTAAGTCAATCAATAAATAAACAATTTAATCTAAAAATCAGTGTTCAGTTTTTATGTTCTCATGTACACCAACAGCATTTTCATGACTGTGTGTGTGACAGGAACATTTGTCCATGTTTTCTGAAACCTCATGAGAACTCTCCAGAAATAAATGAAATGAAGAAGGTCAACAAAGATCTGCAGGTCTGTAGCCAATCAAGTTCATCATTGATAACTGTCTATCTGAGTGGGCTTTAGATGATCTTGACCTTCAATAATAGAAGTGTTGTTTTCTGTGTCAGATGGAGACTGAAAGGCTGGTGTATGGGGGACGGTATGACGGAAGACAGGACTTTGCAGTGGTGCTACAGCCTTTCTTCGAGAACTCTGTTGTTCTAATGGTCGAAGTCAGCACCCTTAAAATACCTCTCTCTCTATAGAGCCTCATGAGATCACATATAAACAATACATTCAGATATAAAATGTTTAAATATGTATATAAATATGTTAGGCTAATGTAATGCTTTTAGAGATTGCATTTGAACTCACACTACAACAGCTTAAGCCTAGAGTTTCAGTATCAGGACTAATGTTAAGAGATTAATCTTTCTGCTTTAGGATGGCACACCAGACCTGACTTTCTTCTCTGTGGATTGTTTTCATTTCGCTGAGCGTGGACATGCAGAGATGGCAATTGCGCTCTGGAACAACATGGTAAATACACATACATACACACAATCTCACAGCAGCTTTATTGTATTTAACTGCAAATGTCCTGTGTTTTGGTTTTAGCTGGAGCCTGTGGGCAGTAAACAAAACTACAATAATTTCACATATGACCGCACTAAGATCCAGTGTCCCACAAAGGTGAGTAAATATCCAATGGAAACCACTGTCAGAACAACATAACCAAGCATGGTCTTTCAATTAATGATCTCTCTTCATATCTTCTCCAGGAGCATCCCTTCATCTTTACACAAATAAACAGTGTCTCTGACGTCCTTACAACTGCCGTACCCATCACAGTTGCACCAGGCACCCCTCTCCCCGCAGATTGCCCCAGTGATTCTGTACCGGCCTGGGCAGCTGCTGTTCTGGCTGTGGGAGGCTTGATTATTGGTTGGGTCATAACCTGGATGATCTTCTACTACAGAGAACGAAAGAACAGAAAGAGAAACGAAAGCACACAAATTAACGGAACTAAGTTCTAATAAGTTTTTCTACACTGTAAAATCGAATTAGTTGGGCTTACTTAAAAAAAGCATGCAAACCGATTGCCTTGAAAAAACTAAGTAAAGTGAAATAGCAATAGTATGTTGTACTGACAGATGCTTAGTTAGTATAGCTTACTTACACAAGAGTTCTAGTAACTAAAAAAGAACTGTAGGGGGTACTTGATCCTTTCATTTAGGTTTACTCGTGACTTAGTATAGCTACTCACTGACTCCCAGAGTGCATTGCGGCATGAATAAATTATACAGTTGCTTTGTTTTATAGTTGTTGATTTTATTTGACAATTTTATTTGCTGTCTTGTGTCAGTAGCAGCACAACAAAAAGAGCAAATAAAATGGCTATTGTTACAAGTAATGAAAATAAATTAAATTGAATTGTTACCATTGTTGTGGTTCACGTGCTGAATGTTTAAGTCTGTGTGTGACTTTGGCATGTTACCACACACGAATTTAAGAATTATATGAACCCAAAGAAAAGCATCTCAGGGTCTTTATGAAAAAATAAATTTGATAAAGATTATTAATGAACACACACAATTAATGCACTAATGCTTTAATTAGAAGATAGGTCACTTTCTAAAAGCAACCTAATTATTACTTTTCTTCCTTTGAAAATAACTCTGACTTCATAATGCGTTACTGCATTAGGAAGATAATTATAGTAACGTAAACCAAGTTCAAAGTGCCCAACCAAAGGGACTGCTAATCACTATAATGGGGAGTTAAAAAAACACATTTTAGGAAAATCAACATCAATTTATGAAGTTAGCTTATGTGATGTTCTTTCAAATATTTCAGTTGTATTGAGAATTCAACATTCAAGATGACTTTGGGAAACGAGTGAATGCAACTAGTGAAAGATAATTGCAGACATGGAGGAAATGAGTGAAAAGTCTATTAAGACTCGTTTTCTTTTCTTCTGCTGCTGTTGTTATGTTGCACATTAGCAACATATCAGTGCACTGCTGCCTCTCATTGGTTTATTAATGTCATTGGTTCCTTTGTGGCTACTTTAATATTTTAAGTAAGTGTCACTCAAAACAGTAAGTAAATTGTTTTATTTGCCTTGAAAGTAGCTGTAACTTAATAAAACCTAGTAAGTATAACAACTAAGTAAAGATAACTAACTAAATCTAAGTAAGTTAAACTATTGGATTTTACAGTGTAATAAGTTCTATTTTTTAATATATATAGACTAAACCCACCCCTAAGCTTTTTATTATTAAAAGCATATATATTTCATAAATGTATTTTATTTATGAATGGATTTTCCTGTTGAGAACATTTTTTAATTCCAACCCTAGATATAAAAACAAGATGAAGTGTTTACATGTCAATAAATTAATGTATTGGTGTAAATTATTTAAATGATAAATAATTGTAATACTTGTATAGACAGTTGTAATTAATATTTTTATTTTAATGAAGTAGTGAAATAACAAATATTATTTTGTTTAATTGTTGTTTAATTAAAGTGCAATTTGCTCAACAGTATTTTTGTAATTATTTTTGGTATATTGTTTTTTGAAAGATTTAGAGATTATTATTTCCCTGTATTTGTTACAGAATTAGAGAATTGCAACTTTGAATATATACTTTTTCATGTGTGTGTTATTTTTTTTAATGCATTTGTTTTTTTGTTTTCTTAAGATGTTCTCTTAACTTCTCTGTTTCGTCCGTTTTTCTCTTTTCATGCTCCTCTGATTCAGTTCTCAGGTATTTTAAGTGACCAGAGGATGGCAGCTTCGCTAGTAACGCAGCGAAGCCTCTGGGATACTAAATTTTCATAATATACAACCTACATGAGCAGTTAATCTATATTTAGTTAAGATAAATTTGATTTAAACCTGTTATATTTATGAGCATTTTGTTACACAGGCACAGGAAACTGATGGCTTGCAAAAAATACAATAAACAAAATTAATTATTTTCAATGTAATTAATTTTACTCACAGAACACACTGTAATCCGAATCAAGCTTAATAAATTATTACTGATTATATATAAAATATAGCCTAAGTGAAAAAATAAATGCCAAAAGTCAACGTACTCTGATAAAAAAATCCTCCTGGAAGGGAAACCAGATACACAAATCGCCAAACGTTAAACAATAGAAAATACCATTAACAATTAAGTTGCTTTCAACAGGTCAAAAGTTGGCCTTCAAAGCGATTAAATATTGACGAAGAGATCACTGATATTGACGTAACCGCTTGTAACGAAGTGAGTGACGTCATTGCGAGGCCACCTAGCGGCCGTTGCTGGAAGCGCTACACGCAGAACTCGGCTCTGAAGATGGCGGAGGGGGAATTAAACGTCGACAGTCTCATTTCTCGGCTTCTTGAAGGTGAGCTGTTAGGAAATGAAGGCATTTTAACGTTTATATAAACATACCCGCTAATTAGCTACTTGTCGTGATCTGTTTTTCTGCTGGTGAATGGGAAATGTGCGCGTAAAGAGAGGGCTATCTGCGCCCTGTTTACAAACACGGCAGTGGCCCTGGGGTTTGGACAGCCTACATACCAGCGATGGGAGTTTCAGATTAGAGCTAACCTTGCCTTTATCTAGCGAAGCTGGGACGAGAAGTGAAGGCCTGTAGTTTTTTTTATTCAGCAGTTGTTAAAGAAACCGAGCAAATGTGAGAGAGGGCTGGACGATGCAGTGTCCGCTGCGTCGTTGACTTCAGGCGAATGTAACCGACGTAACGTTAATTCTGATTCTCCGTTCGACTCTCCTCATACTGTATTCACTATACAAGGTTACCGTGTGCTTACTCTTGATTAATGTTACCAGTGTGTTTTCTAAATCCTCCTATTAGTGTTACACTGAATTTGTTGTAATTGAATTGCACCGAATCTTACACATAATGGTACACTGTATGTTTACAGCGTTACGCCAGTCTCTTATCGCACTGTTTTTTCTCTTAGCAACGATTAACTTTAATTGTTTTCAGTTCTTATATTTATATTACACTGAGTATTACACTGAATCCTCTTCTTAATGAACCAATAAATGTTCTCTTAATAATATTAGACTGCATTCTTTTAGAAATGTTGCACTACGTTCCCTTTTATGACTTGACTTTGTTTTCTTCTTAGTAACATTACAGTGTTACATGGAATATAAGTTATAGTGTTCATTATCATTATGAAGAGGATTCAGTGTAACGTTGCTAAGAAGAATACAAAGTAATGTCATAAAGGGAATATAGCATAACCTTACTAAAAGAATACAATGTAACTTTATGAAAAGAATAGTGTTTTATTATGCAGTGGGTTCAGTGTAATGTTATATATATTTTTTCATAATGTTACATTGATCTTTTATCAACGTTAGGTTACAATCCCTTTGTGACATTACTTTGTATTCTCTTCAGTAATGTCACACTGAATTTGCGTCGTAATAATGCACACTAAATATTCTCTCTGTAACATTAAACTATATTCTCTTAGTAATGTTACACTTTATTTGCTCTTGTAAAGTAACTTTACTCTGTGTCTGCAAAAGTTCGCTTTATTTTCAGTATGTCAGAAGTGAATAATTAATGAAAGGAATGGTAATTTTGTTCTCTGTTACAGTGTATCATCTTCCTACCGTAAAATACATTTAAATCGGAACATCACATTCTACTTAACATGAATAATCTTTATAATAATTTATTATAATCTTCTGCAATCTGGTGTTTGGCCGCTTGGCTCTGTAATGGTTCCTGTACTGTAGACTGGATTGTTGGCTTTAATAAATGCCTTTTATAAATGCTGGAACCATTTACTAGCCTGTACATTAAATATTAGAGAGTTTTGTAAGTCATAGAAAGACAAATGTTTCTGTCTCTCTATCCTTGGTTATTTCTGTCCATCTCAGTGACTTCTGCTACTACACAAACTTCTGCTTTTCGGTTACTTTTGATAAAGGCAAGCACCGTGGATTATTGCACCACCCTAATAACCGATATGGCCTCGTGCCCGTCCATCTGTCCCAACACCCTCCTGCTGACCCTCACTCAGCAATGCCATCTGTGATTCTGTGTAACCTTAACGTCCCATTTTTCGCTTCTTCACACTTCGATTCTCATGGTCTCACAGACACATCTCTGTATGTTTCTCTCATGTTCCATCTGTGTCTCTCAATCACACTCCTCTGTCTGTGAAGATCAAGTGGCCTGCTGTCCCACGGTGATCGTCTAGTGACTGCCCGTCAGGACTTGGATAATCTTGTGGATTGCTCTAAAATGCTTTAGCGGGAAAGTGGATCAGTTTAGCTTGTCTGTGTCATTTTGTTCTTATGTATTGTTATGTAATGTGACCCTAACATGATAAATAAGGAATCAGAGCGATGAATTCGTTTTACGAATTGAAGTCGATTGCCACTCTGAACAAGTTGTTTCTGGCAAGCTCATAATCTAGCTCAGACTGGTCTGGACTGTGGCTTGTCAAACACATACACACAATCAGATTTTCCTTATGTTTAGTCATGCTGCAATAACAGGGACAATTCATCAATTCATAGACTTATACACACACACACACTTCAATCTGTACAAATGGCACCATGCTTGCAATCTCGTAAAGTGCTCTTCACTTTACTCACACACACAGTATTTGGGGTTACAGCATTCTTTTCAAAGAGTCTCCAACATTTCTGGTTTGTGTGGGATATTGTGAGGGTGGACGGCCTGAAGACTAAAATGGTTAGTGCTATTATATAACCGTAATCATGGCTGTAAGAAAAGAGCCCAACTTTTCCTTCTCTGTGTCATATATACTGTCTCTCAGCTATTCTACTTTTTTCTCCCCACACACACGGCACACACACTTTTCTAATTTGTCGTTCTCTTCGTCTCAGAGTGAATTATGGCTACAGGTTCTCGCTTGTAGTTTCTCATATGAAGTTCTTAGACAAACTGCTCTGCAAAATGGTTGTTTAACAGTCTCGACTGTGTTTGCCAAGGCGGGAACATTCCTGCAGAATTCCAGACACTCTCAAGATTCCCACTCACATAAACAGCAGAATTCACTGACATCACTATGTGAGCAAGACGTATGGAAATGTATTTATTATAAAATGTACACTAACATTTAAATGTTTGGGTTTGGTGTGATTTTTCAATGATTATGAATGTCTCTTATACTCACTAAGGTTGCTTTTTTTAACTTAAAAATATAGGAAAATGGTAATATTGTGAAAAATTATTACAATTTAAAATAAATAACTGTTTTCAATTTTAATGTATTTTAAAGCGTAATTTATTCCTTTGATGAAAATGCCGAATGTTCAGCAGCCATTACTTCAGTCTTCAGTGTAACGTGACATTCAGAAATCATTCTAATATGCTGATTTAATGTTCAAGAAATATTTGTTATCAATATCAATGTTGAAAACTGTTGTTCTGTTTAATATTTTCGTGGAAAACGTCATAAATGTTTTTTTCAGGATTCTTTGATTAAAAAATAACAGCATTTATATGAAAAAGATTTTTTTGTAACAATGTAAATTTAGGCCTGTCACGATAACAACTTTTTGTTGTGCGATATATTGCCCCAGAAATAATTGCGATAAATTATATTATTGTCATTTTAAAGACCATTTAATGCCACTGAACATATAATCATAATGTAACAGCATAATAATGCAAGAAGGCCTACACACTTTCAAATGACAACAAATTAAAACATTTTAAGAATATTTAGATAATTGAAATTAAGTATCAAAATATTAAATACCTTAAAAAAACTTGAATAAAAAATAAATAAACATTTTCTAACAAAAAGTGCAAAGTAACAAGTAGAAAAAAAGAAAAATGCACAAAGAACTTTTATGGAGATTTTTCCATCTACAGATTTTTCCCGGACATTCTTTTCTCTGTAAATTAAAGGTGCACACTATTGCTGAAAAACACAGTCACTACTCGGCAGTCAGATGTCCGTATGCACAAAGGCACAGATCCCTAAACAAGGCCATATCTGCAGATGAAACTTTTAGAAGCTTTTTTTCATGTGAACTAGCACCTCATGACTACACCACGTTATGTACAAGAAGCTGCAAAAGACACAGGCGCAAGTGGAATGTACAAAACATGGTGACATTAATTTAAGTAAATATAATGGGCAATATATTACGTCACCAAAAATGATTGAGGTCATGTACATATATTGCGCGATAAGTTGATATATTGATTATTGCGACATTCCTAGTAAAAGTATTTGTAATCTTTTTTCCATCAATTTAATACATCCTTGCTGAATAAAATTATTAATTTCTTAATGACCCCAAACTGTTGAATGGTAGTGTAAATCATAAGAAAATGTTCAAATAAAAGTATCATGATCAGTTAAATCAAAGTTGTGTGTGTTTTTATATATATTTATATTTGTCACATTAGACCCTGATTGGATAAAGGCACAGCAAGACTTTTGAATATTGACAAAGTCCACTTTGCAGCCTGTTCTTCTGGCCCACGTAGACAGGGAGAGACCTGTCTGATAAACATATGAAGTTACCAACCATGGTTTTAAATGTTTATAGTGGCTATCTGAAATGGTTACTATGGTAAAAGACCAGTTTGGAAAAAATCTAATTCAAATAATAAGCGCAGATTAATTCCTTGTATTCAATCAGAAATAAAACTAAATATATAGTTCTTCTCATAGATATCTAGCTTAACGAGCATAACTCTGAATGTCCTTCAAAGATTTCATGTCACAACAATCCAACCTTTGGCAAATCTAGTGGCTAGTTCTTCCGAAGTGCTCATGCAGCTCCTTATAAACATGCCATTGTTTCCAGGCATTAAAAATCTGATCAATCAGATCAGAGCCAGTTTGCCAGATTGTGAAAGTCTATTTTTGTGTACAATATGTTTCAGTGGATGACTGTATGATAAGTGGGCCAATATGAACATTGAGTGATTAGAAAATCCCACGTTTGACCCAGTTATTGAGGCTGCAATAAATTTGTCACACTTAGGAAATGATGTTAACTAGATATTAACAAATGTTGATGTCTACTGTTCCAGTGCGAGGATGTCGTCCTGGGAAGATCGTTCAGATGACGGAAGCAGAAGTTCGAGGACTCTGCATTAAATCTCGAGAGATCTTTCTCAGTCAGCCCATCCTGCTGGAGTTGGAGGCTCCACTTAAAATCTGTGGTAGGTTCGATACTCCCCTTTTTCAGAGTGGAGAACATTCCTTCCCCACTATCTCTTAAGATTTTGGAAACCAGCGTGTATGTAGAGCAGGTTATAAATATGAATGTAATGAGGATAGGTTTGAGGTCATTTCTCTTCTCTCTGTTGCACACCTGAGACCCGTGTGTGTGTGTGTGCGCGTGCATGTGTGCGTGTGCGTGTGCGTGCGCCAGAGTCATTAACTTGAATTTTGCATGTTGAGATCTTTAGGCCACTATTTTCTTTTCTTTTCTGAATCCTAATCTGACAAAATCCATATAACTATTGATTTATGATGTCTGTTTTATAACTCTCTGTCTCTAGGTGACATCCATGGCCAGTATACAGATTTGTTGAGGTTGTTTGAATATGGTGGTTTTCCACCGGAGGCGAACTATCTCTTTCTGGGTGATTATGTGGACCGAGGGAAACAATCTTTGGAGACCATCTGCCTCCTACTGGCCTATAAGATCAAATACCCCGAGAATTTCTTTCTCTTGAGGGGAAACCACGAGTGCGCCTCCATCAACCGGATCTATGGCTTCTATGATGAGTGTGAGCATCTGAGCATATGCATATATAAATACACCAAACGTTAACACAAACCCACACCAAATAATCTGAAATCATATTGATTTTTCACCCACTGAACAATCTTTCAGGTCATGAATCATACTTTATTGTTATGAATATGTAAATTTTTCTGTCGCAGGCAAGCGCAGGTTCAATATAAAACTCTGGAAGACTTTCACAGACTGCTTCAACTGCCTCCCAATTGCTGCCATCATAGATGAGAAGATTTTCTGTTGCCATGGAGGTGAGATCGGGTGAATGAAAGATGGATAGTTTTATAGAAGTGACTCTTGGCCTGATGAAATAGGTCAGAGCTGAGACTAAAAATATTAATGCATGCTCTTTGTTACACTTTTTCTGTGTGATGACTTGTCTTTTTTATGTCTGTCTTCTAGGTCTCTCTCCTGATCTGCAGTCAATGGAACAGATACGTCGGATTATGCGACCAACTGACGTCCCAGATACAGGTGTGTATGCACATATATTACAAAAACAAATACTTGTTTTAGGCCAATAAATCACTAATGTCTCAATTGTAAAATCTGACAAGCTTTGACATTTTCTTTATTAAAATATTTCCTGCAATTAAATTGTATACAGTGTACAGTGTTATTTTATAATTATTTATTATATGTATTATAGTTTACCTTTACATTTATGCATTTGTCAGACGTGTTTATCCAAAAAGACTGGTTGCATTCATGATACAAATTTTATCAGTTCTTGCTTTCCCTTTGAATCAAACATATGATCTTGTGTTGCTAGTGTCATGCTCTTCTTATTGAGTTACAGGGAGGCTATTTTTATAGCTAGTTTTTATTAACAGTTTAAATTAGCTTTTATTTTTAGATTTTCAGTTTTAGTTTTCATTTATTTCCAGCTTAAAATGTATTTCAGTTCGTCACCTAGTATAACATTACATTTACTTTTAATATTGGTTGACCACTAATAAAAACTTTTCGATGTAATGAAATATTATTACAGATACATATTCTCTGTCTCTCGGTCTTGCAGGGTTGCTGTGTGATTTGCTGTGGTCGGACCCAGATAAGGACGTTCAGGGATGGGGGGAGAACGATCGTGGCGTTTCATTCACTTTCGGTGCTGACGTAGTCAGCAAATTCCTCAACCGCCACGATCTGGACCTAATCTGCAGGGCGCATCAGGTACTAATTCATTTTAACCAGTCAGGATCCACTATCCATGTCGTAACTATGAAATAATTGTGGTTAAAGCTTCTTTATGTAGATCGTGTTTTAGTTTGTGCAGTGAGTGTGTCGTGTTTCGCAGGTGGTTGAAGATGGTTATGAGTTCTTTGCAAAGCGGCAGTTGGTCACTCTGTTCTCGGCGCCAAACTACTGTGGGGAGTTTGACAATGCCGGTGGAATGATGAGTGTGGATGAGTCACTCATGTGCTCTTTTCAGGTGTGTTATCATCCACACACACACACACATGCATTGCTCACAATGTATTCACACACTCTCTTTTCTCTCTCAGATCCTGAAGCCATCAGAAAAGAAGGCAAAGTATCAGTACAGCGGGGTCAACTCAGGGCGACCTGTGACCCCGCCCCGTACGGCCCAAGCCCCCAAGAAGAGGTGAGCGGCTCGCCACCCAGAACCACACCCTCCATCCCCACCACCTTCAGCAAACTACCCCTATCTGGGGCAGCTTTACCTTCCCAATTCCCCTCCGAAATCTCTCTACTCGCCCTGCCAAACTTCTTTCTCTTTTCTTAAAACTTGTGTACAGAAATGTTGCTGTGTCCAGGCGGATTCTCTTTTCTTTTGCTGTGCTTGTTTGTTTATTGGTATTTTAATAACATAAATAATAATAATAATACTTCTTTGGGAAGCAACTCTTGAGGTGCTCTACAAAAAACCCAGAGCAAAACACACACTCATTCTCTCACACGAAGATCTCAGTAGTGTCCTGATATATAAGCATTTTATTAAACTTTACTTCAGTATTCTTTGATTATTGAACATTAATGCTGATTCATAAAGAAAGAGTGACGATTGTAAGTATTTGAAGGTTGTTACACTAGGCTTTCACGCACACACAAACTCACACTTAACTCTGCCAGGGTGCTTGATCACAGGTCAGCAGATACTTTACATGAATACGGACACAATCCATTGTTGATAAACTAGGTCAATGTGGACAAAGCTAGAAAAGGGATTTTAACTCGGATACCGTGACATGCACACATTTTCACAGCTGCATTTACAAATGGCATTGCATGTTCTGTTTTCTTAATACCTTTGGGATTTACAGTGAAACTCTATAGACCTCTGTTTAATGTGCTGTTTTTATGTCTTACGATAGTAATAATTCAGGAGAAAAGTGTCACGGCATAACACTTAACACTTGCATGACCCTTGTACATGTCGGTAATAACCTGTCTGAAACAGTGTAATCCACCAGCCATTTTTTCATTGGATAACAAGACAGCTGACACAAATAGAGTATTTGTTCAATATTAAAGAATTGTACTTGTTTGAAGTTCCCCAACATCATTTAGAAGGTTAAAACTGATTCTGTTGGATTTGTTTAAGAGCTTATTACCTAAAAGAGTAACACATGTGACTAAACAATGCATTTCCTCATATTCCTGATATTCACCTGTCATAATTCATTCTTTTTTTAATGTTTTTATTTTTGTGTTGCTGTTTACTACTTCTCCTTAATTTATTTCCAAATGTTTGGAAAGCTATCAAAAGTGTTCTAAAAGCAGTTCATGAGTTTTGTATAAGTGGGCTTCAAACTTAATAAATGGAAGAAAACTCTCTTTGCCTTCTCTGTGTTTGTGACCCTTAGCAACCGTATAAATAACAGGCTAATTAAAGTGGCGGAGACCATAGTTCTGGATGCTACTCAGCAGAATTTTTCCAAGTGATTCATTAAAATAAGCAGCTCTGTAACTCGCCAGTGCTGGAAAATGTGCACGAGGACAATCTGTGGTCTGTTGCCATGGCTACTCCGGCAATGCAGGGTCCGGCTCTATTTCAATGCAGCCGAAAGCAGACAATGAGCTAAAATTGTGTTCAGTTAATTGAAGCAGTTATATAGGATTGATTTGTCTTCGTTATTCCCTTATTATTCATCAAATTTATTTATAGACACCTTTATAGACCGAGATTACATTCGGATTCAAAATTCCTCTTTAATTTAATTGCCCAACTCAAGGTGGACTTTAGTGTAGTTAATCATTAGTGTTTGATCGCAAGGTTATGACCTTGTTCCCTCTGAGCATCCATCAGTGTGCAGCGTCTTCTCCACCGCTTTAGCCCTTACAGAAGCTGTAATCCAGTTCCAGGCTGTGTTCACTGCCCTTCTGAGTGGCTCATCAAAGAGGCAGCCACACAGAAGGAGGCAGGGCAGGACTACGTGCAGTTCTGCCAGGAGCCAGACAAACAGCAGGAAGAGGCCGGCTGTCAGCAGCTGGAGTGCGACACTATCTGCACAGATCTCACTCAGCCAACAACCTAGCTTGCTGTTTCTCAGCAACTGAACCAGCCTGCAGTCTCTGATCATGTTCTGTGAGGTGAAAGAGACTGATAAGTGACAGGCAGGCCCAGTCTGCACAGCTTCTAATGTGTGTTTCTTTATTACCTGTTGGTCTTGAGTTGAAAGCTGAGATCTGTTAGATGTCTCCATGCAGACCTCATTGCCTCCTGGTGAAATTCTTCTCTTAGCACAATCTGTTCTTATGCGAAATCTCTTCTCCATGATCAGGCTTCTTGCATAGAACATTTTATTTCATTAGTAAATCTATTAACAGCTGTGTTCTTATAAAGTTAAGCACTAATGCACATGAATGCTTCTGGTCCTAAAATCTTATTTTTGCTATAACTCTTGGGTAAGCAAGTGAACAATAAAATCACTGGCAAACATTCAGACAATAGTAGTTTAACTGAAAGTCTTTTTTAACTTCTCAGGATCATTTATACCTATACGTATGTGTGTGTGTGTGTGTCTTGTTTTGCAAATGTTATAAATGTATTAATTACAGTATTTGTTGGCTAAAACAGTTGTTTGATATTTTGTAGGCTACCATTTGCATTTGGTTGTTTTTATTATTTCATTGTTTAATGTCAGGTTTCATAACGCATATACTGTGACAACATGGTCCTCTATGTTAAAGTATGTGTCAATAAAGAAAATAAATAAAGCGTGACAACTAGCCCTGTAACTATTTCATAAAATATATTCTCTTAAAGTAATCTTTCATTTTAAAGTCTCACCAACAGATCATAACATTCATATATTACAACATAAACACACAAGTAAAAAATATATAACTTTGTTTTATATATTTTTTACAGTCAAACCTAAATTTATTCAGACACGTTCAACATTTCACACATTATCACAGGTTATTCGCTATCGTTTAGAAAATGGTCTGTGTCAGACCAAATTCATCTTGATAATGACAGATAAAAAAGTTTAAAAAGACAAAACATGGTCAGGTCAAAGTGTCTGAATAATTTTTGGTCCCAATTTTTTTTTTATCAATTTTACTGGTAGTTCACTGTATGAAGAATTGTTTTGGTATAATATGTGACAGTTTTCTTTATTTTGCTATCCTCACTTACATAAATGAACTATAGTGTCTTGCACCCAACAAAAACATCAAAAATTATATCTGGTGTCTGAATAAATTTTGGTTTGAGTGTATATATATATATATACATACAGTATACATATTTTTTTGTATAAAAGTGCTCAAATAATCAGCATACCTGAACGAAAGGATCTGTTATTTTACCTCTTAAGGAATGTGCTGTCTCAATCAGGAAAGAAACTGTTTTTAACAGTTTAAATGAAAACAGTTCTCTACACTGATACTCTTCGATTATTATATTATATTATATTATATTATATTATATTATATTATATTATATTATATTATATTATATTATATTATATTATATTATATTATATTATATTATATTATATTATATTATATTATATTATATTATATTATATTATATTATATTATATTATATTATATTATATTATATTATATTATATTATATTATATTATATTATATTATATTATATAGAAAATACACTTAATAGTATTGAAAAGTGCGTGTCCTCCAGGTCAGCAGGGGGCAACAGCGCGATTAGCTTGTCTATAGCGGATGTGTATGTGTCATCCCAAACTCACAGCACACAATAACACACTGACACCTCAGATGGATCTTCTGACCCGCTCGGGTCCAAAAAACCACTCAACACCCTCACAAACTTCACTGACAGGCTTATAAACACACTAAGAGTCGGTTCGTGCACCGGGCGGAGGGTTTATGTCGTAGAATCCGCAGGTTTTGGGTCCGGTTCCGCCCGAAACATGTCCTGCTGTCTGCTGGATTTCGGCCGGGTCCAGGAGCTCAGACAGGTGCGAGACTTTCTCTTCCAAAAGCACAACAACGCTGGACCCGAGGAAGAGAAAACACGAGCAGGTACTGCTGGAGTTAGTATGCCTAAAGTCCAGTTTAATGATGGTTCTCCTGCATTGCGCTTGTTCAGTGATTTATGGGTGTCAGTTCGGGTGTGTGGGGTTCGGCCTGGATGGTTGGTAGAGTTGGAAAGTTGTTTTTGATAGGTAAAAGCAGAATAACACAGTCATGAGCTGTGTGTGTTGGGTTTTGTTTTGCATACATTACGGAAACTACAATGTCCCCACAACGATAGTAAAACGACATGATTAACTTACTAAATAATGTTTTAATTAAAACATATAAATGCAGAACGATTTGCGTGAGGCTTAGATTTAGAGTTAAAGGATATAAAATATACTGTTTTATACTGAGCTAATAATAAACCAATTGCATGTGTGTTTTTTGAAAAAGAATAAAAAATAGTAAAAAGTGAATTGTCTGACTGTGATGCAGAATAACTTATTCACTCTCTGTAGAGAGAGAGAGAGAGAGAGAGAGAGAGAGATGTAGGGAGGTGTATTTGCCCTTGGTGAATGAGTCATCCTGCAGAAAGGTCCTGAAACACATGACTGCGTTAGAGACAGTGAATGAACGAAAGACAAACAGAGAAAGACGAAGAGAAAAGAAAAAGGAAAGGGTATATTGAGAGTTTGTAAGTAAGATACATCTTGCATTCATGATTTTGTCGTGCGATTTGTGTCAAAACACTTGACCATAGAGATGTAAGAGAGAAATGAGCATGCAGGGGATGGAAAAGAGAGAGTGTGTATGAACTCTCACAGAGGTTGAAGGACACCAGATCGAGCCGACTGACTGTTTAATGTGAATAGATTCATCCTTGCTGACCACATAATTTACAGCACATCCTTTTCTCTTTCTCTAGAGAATGAGTTAACGTGGGATGACTCAGACTGGGGCTCTTGGGAAAATCCTGATGGTAAAGAGGATGGAGCTCAGGTTTGTATTATAAGATTGGTACACCGAAAAAAAGAAAATTAATGTCATTTACTCAACGAAATGTCATTCTAAACCTGTATGTTATTATTTTTCTGTGGAAGACAAAAGTAGAAATTTTGAAGAATGTATGCACCCCTCTTTTCCATATAATGACCACAAAATAACAGAAATGCACCATAAAAAATTCTGCATGTTCTTCTCTTAGGCTGAGGAGGAGGAGCAGCAACAGACCGCCCCCTGGCTACAGAACTGTGTGATGTCTCTCTCGCCCTGCTCAGATTTGCTGGTCATCGCTCGAGAGCATAAAGCCACATTTCTCTCTGGTATACACATAGTAGTGATTAATCTATTCTTTATTGATGATTGGTTATTGATTGGCATAACTCGTATGTGAATTGATTGATTGGCAGCTAAGTGGCGGACAGATGAGAGTGGGCAGGAGGAAATGACCCTCTCTGTGACCTGGAGTGGAACGCTGAGCGCCGAGGAGGGGTGAGAGACCGAAGAGGAGAGGGGAGGGTCAGGATTGGATGGTTTTATGGGAAAAACCATGAAGGGTTTTAATCCCTCAAAGAAGAAAGAATATGTTACAAGACAGAAACGAAGGACTAAGCAATATTATGTGTAATGGAGTTTGTAGATGTTTAAAAAAAAACATGTCTATTATAAGGAGGATTGTAAAAAGTGGAAAGATAAGAGGCAGAAGAACAAAAATAAAGAGTGGTAAAAATCTGTTTGATTGTTTTTTTGGGGGGGTTTTTTGTTCACCGGTTTTAAATTTTTTTGTCTGTTCTTTCCACAGGGAGTGTATCTGTAGTGTTATTTGTATTC